GGGGCCGGCGGCCCCCGGCCCGTCTGCCGGCCAGAAGAGAGGCGGCTCAGCGGCCGAGCGGGCGGAGAGCCGCACCCGCCCTCCTGCAGCAGTGCTGAGCCAGCGTGCAGCCCGAGGGCCTTTCTGTCCTGCCCCCGGAGCATCGCCTTCCCCTCTGGCTGCGACCCTTGACCCAGCAGGCCCAGCAGACACCCTGGCCCTGCATGGGCTGCCGGGATGCATGCTGTAATACTTTTGGAACCAAAGGGCACTCGTGTCCGGGACCAAGTCAGAGCCTTGCTGCTCACAGCAAGGGGACGCCACGCCATGCTGAGGGCAGATGAGGACCGAAAAGCCCGGCTCTGCCCCGTCTTTGACCATCCCCAGGCCGTGCCGTGTCAGGCACTCTGATTCAACCAGACCCTGGTCCCTCTGCCAGTCTGTGGAGCCAGCGGATGATGCTGACATCCCTGCTGGACAGGGGAGGGGCTGGTGGCCACCTGTCTGCTCCCAGCCCCAGAGACAGATGGCAAGACTCGGCGAGCCCGCCCCCTCCTCCGGGCCTGGGTCTGACTCCCCAGTGGGTCGGCCCTCCTAGAGGCAGAGGTGGGGACTCGAGGCTGACACCTGGCTCCACAGCTGCAGAGGCACCCAGCGGCCACAGATGTCGTGGGTATAGCCTCTGTCTAGGTTGGACCGGGCTGGGCAGCACAGGGCCTACCTGGCAATCCCCCGGCGAAGGTGAGCACGGAGTCCTGCAGGTGCGTCCTGAGCACGGCCAGCCGCTCCCGCAGCCGGACGGTGCTCACCTCGCTCTGGCCCCTGGTGCCGTCCACCTGCAGGCTGGCCTGGCCCTCCTTCAGGGAGGCGACGACCACGTGCTCCTCCCGGTCACACGCCTTGATCTCCATCAGCACCAGGGCCTCGCTCTCCACCGCCAGGACCACCAGCTGAGAAGACACCGGGCCACGGTCATCCCAGGCCTACAGCCGCCCACAGACCCTGGGCGTCCCTCACCCTGACAGCCTGGGAGCCCGGGACACTGGGGGCCTCTGCAACCCTGTGTGCAGAGTAAGGGCTGGCCTGCGAGGTGACAGGGAGAGGTGTGTGGGTGCTCACTGTGGAAGCTCACCCAGCTGGCCTGGAGGTGACCGGCGTGTTGGTGTCAGGGACACCAGTGTGGAGCTCCCATGGGGTGGGGTTCGCGCTGACAAAGCAGAGGCCCTCTGCCCCCACAGCCCCTACAGCCCCTACCCGGGTGGCCGGCCGGGCTCCTGAGACCTCAGCATATCAGTGCTGGGCGCTCGGAGGCAGCGGGCGGGCCTTTGCTGAGGAGCAACTGTCTGCGCAGACCATGGCCAGCTGACCAAGAGGGCTGGGCCGCCCCGGGCCCACGGGCTGCTGGGGCGGGCTCTCACTTTCCTCCTGTATGGCCAGAGGGCAAAGCTCACTCCTGCCGCACTAACGGTTTCATGGGGGAGACGGTCAGGGCGGTGGGGACGGTCACAGGAAGGGTGTGTCTGGGGCGGCTGAACACAGCGCAGCCCTGTCACGCGGGGACAGTGCTGTGAGAGGCCAGTGTCAGCAGATCCAACCTTAGGGGAGCCAGAGACCCGAGTCTGCAGGGAAGTCACTGGACTTAAACGCACGCAACGACCTCCGGCCGTCACGGACCTGTTCACCCAGGTGCCAGGGAGCTCCGACATGAACGCCCGTGGCTGCTGCACCCTGAGCTACTGTCTCAGACCCCGCTGCGCTGCACGGGCCACCTTGGCCGGGACAGCTTCAGCTATGCCTGAAGACGGGAGGGGCAGCCTGTGCTAGGTGGGTCGGGCTGGCCTGCCTTCAGAGGAGGGCCTGCGCGGCCCCAGGAGAGGTCCTGGGCTGGGAGGGGCGGGACGGGGCGGACATACCTGCTTTTTGAGCTTCTTGGTGGAGTGGTAGTCAACCAGAGCCACAGACAGGGGCACAGCCTGGCCACGCACCAGTGCCAACAGCACGCCCGTGTCAGCGGCGGGGCGGATGCGAGCCACCACCGTTACCTCCCAGGTCATGTTGGTCCCCTCGTCCAGTGACAGCCCCACTGCAATGAGAAGAGTGCATATCAGAAGGAGGCGCGATGGCGGCAGGAGAGCGTGTGCTGGGACCGTGCCAGCTTGGGTACGGCTGGCTCTGAAGATGGTGGAGCGGCCGCAAACCCGCTCAGTGAGCTGTCCTCGCCGGGGGGGACGGGACATGCCAGCGTGTGTCGCCTGGCCCACGGCGCATGGCTGCATCCTCCGGCCACACCAGCGCCCCGATGGCCCAGTGGGGATGACAGCCCACTCCACCCGCCCGAGGGCTACCGGGCGGCCTTTGTTCCCACCGACTTCCTCTTGCTGCAGGAGCTCGAGGCGCTGCTGTCCGAGATGTGCTGCGGCCGTGAGCCCTGCCCACCCCTGCAGTGACGGGCACCACGAGGTCAGAGCTGTGAGGGTGCAAATGTGCAGCGGACCATGAGCAGCAGGCCCAGAGCTAGGGCAGCGGCCTTGCACGCACGGCCACCTGTACCTGCGTGTGTTAGAGGAGTCCGCTGAGGTCGTGCACGAGAGCTGTGGAGTGGAGGCTGCTCTGGGGCAGAGATGCTCTACTAGCCGGGCCCGAGCATGCCAGATGCGTCCCTGAGGGCCCGGCGTCCGACTGCCTGGAGCACCGAGGCAGGGGCCGAGACGTAGCCAGACCCCAGGGACAGTGCTCACTGTCAGCTGAGTGTGCACACACTCTGCCACAAACAAAGAAAAGCTGTTTGAAAAGCTAGTGGAAACACGTATTGTGAAAAACTGCGAAAGGTTTCAAGTGTGTTTTTTTTTTTCTTTTTCCCACACCAAAATAAACCTGTGGGGACCAGCAGTTAGCGTAATGGCTATGTCGCTGGACTCCCATGTAGTTGACTGCGGTTCACGTCCCGGACCCGGTGGCTTAAAACTCACATCGGGCGCGTGTGCGAGGGGGGTGATTTCTCGCTTTCTGTCTCTCTGTCTCTCTCTGTCTTCCTGGCGAGCACATGCACCCTTAGCAAAAATCTTTCCAAAAAAAGAAAAAATAAACATATGCATGAATCCCACTTTCCGCGAACGTTGAAGTGCCTTGTACTTAGGGGAAGGACTGGTTCTGGCTCTCCCAACAACTCTTCATGCTCCCTTCCACCACGCTCGGAGAGGCCAGAGAAAACATCCCCCTGCCAGGTCTCAGCACTGTCCCACCCAGCATGTCAGGACCCTAACAGGCAGTTGCATTCTGTCAAAATGACACCAGCCAGCGAAGACCCGCCGTCGTGCACCCATGGCCCTCCCTGTGAGCCAATGCCGAGAGAGGGTAACCGTGGGTAACCGTGACGGCGTGCCCGTCTACCCGCTGGACCACGCCCTCCTCGAGTCCAAGCTGTAGCTAACCCTGCCCCGCACGGTTCTGTCTGAAGTGCTGGGTTGACTGCGTGTGGAATCCGAGAAGCAGCTGGGACGGAAGACACGCCTCTGTTGCCGGCAAGGAAGAGGTCACATCTCCTGGGACACGGAGTTCCCTGCAGGGCTGTGACCCTCCGCAGTGGTTTTCTCAGCAAGGAGCGGAGAGGACCTGCAGCCACGCAGCACACAGAGGCTCCCTGAGCCCGAGGCGGGCTGAAAGCATGTACTCTGCGAGGAGGGCCTTGTCGGCCCCTATGAGGGACAGCAGTGCACAGCGGAAGGTGCGGGCATCACACGGCTACCTTGTGACTTACAGTCAAGTACAGATGCTGTGACCTGGTCACTAGACCCACACCGGCCATGTCTACAGCGGAGCGACATCTGTAAAGACGTGGAAAAAGAAGGAGCTATTCCACGCTACAGCCGTGTTCCGGCTACATGTGCCAAGACTCAAGGAGCAAGTGGCCACGCCGTAAGTGTGTAATTAAATGTGAAAGGCTCCTTAACAAGAAGTCCTTGGTGACGTGGCCACTACTGAAGGGAGACGAGAGGGCGAGGGGTAGGTCCACCTCCTGGGGTGTGAGGGAGGAGAGTACGGCTCGCCTCCCCCAGGAGCAGAGGGCGTGCCCGGTCCACCTCCACGGGAGCAGAGGGTGTGCGGGTGCCCGGTCCACCTCCACGGGAGCAGAGGGCATGCGGGTGCCTGGTCCACCTCCACGGGAGCAGAGGGTGTGCAGGTGCCTGGCCCACCTCCCACAGGAGCAGAGGACGTGCCCGGTCCACCTCCACAGGAGCAGAGGGTGTGCGGGTGCCTGGCCCACCTCCACGGGAGCAGAGGGTGTGCAGGTGCCCGGCCCACCTCCAACGGGAGCGCAGGGCATGC